GTAAAATTGTAAATTTGTCCTGTGAGAGCACTTATTTTAGTGTAAGATTGTCTCCTCCAACTGTTTGTAACTTAGGCTCCTAGAATTAGTATCAAGGAACAAGTACTTCCCTCCCAAGTGCCCATATAAACCATTTCTATTTACATTCATTATACTCTTAGCAAAATTTATCCCTCACTTAAAATTTGTTAAACTACACTCAAAATAACCTAATTAAAATGGCTTTTTAATACAATAGGATCTAGCTCTTCCAGTTCAAGGCAAAAGGTACCAACATAGTGGCTCCTGTACATCTTACCTCAAGGAATTATTACCCTTATTTCTCAGAAATTCTTGAGAGAAAATGTGCATACCCAGTTCACAAACTGTGTTCATCAGCACTGAAAACAGTTCAGGGAGTTTCTTGCTTGCTCAGGTGAAGATTTGACTCTTGTTTACCCACAATCCCAAAGCAAATTATTGGGCAATTTTATATTATAGACTGAATGTTTTTGTGCCAATGCCTGTCCAAATTCGTATGCTAAAGCACCAATTTCCAATGCAATAATATTTGAAGGTAGTGCTTTGGTAAAATAATTAAGTTTAGATGATATTATGACGGTGGGCACCCATGTTGGGATTCTTGTCCTTATAACAAGAGGGAAAGAGACTAGATTTGTCTCTCTGTTCTATGTGAGGCCACAGCGAGATAGTGGCTGCTTTCAAGCCAGGAAGTGTACCATTACCAGGATCCAAATAGGCTGGCACCTTGAATTTGGAGCTCCCAGGCTCAAGAATTGTGGGAAATAAGTGTGTTTTGTTTAAGTTTCCAGTCTATAGTATTTTGTTATGGCAGCCCAAGCAGACTTACAGGACTTTGCCTCTTAACTCTGAGGTATACCATCTGAGAGCATGGAATTTACTCACCACTTCCACAGCTTCAACTAACCTAACACCCATCTTAAATAAAATTTATATCCCACTGAGGACTCACAGTTTCCTAAAGCCCCAAACTGCCTTGCTCATGACATTTCCACTTAATTGCTCTCATAAGGAATACTTTCATCCACACTCATTCTTTTTACTTTACCTCAAAGTTATATAGGGCAGTTCAGCAACTTTCTTGTATGATTACAACTTGTAGGCTCAAAAAATAATTCTATAAGTAGAGGCTGAGTCTGCTTCATTTCAGTATCCCATTCTTCCACAGAGACTTCTAAACAGTATATGTTCAATTAATTTTGGCGGATGAGTCAAGAAACACAGACTATTTTTTAAAGATTTAATTTCTTCTACATTTTTGAATAAGCCAAGGAAAGTTCAGAACATTTAACTCCATAAAACAAAAGACAAAAACAATTAGACAATACCAGGATTGATGAGGTTTTAATTTTTTTCCTGCAGTCTATTAGCCCACTTATATTTTCAAGAAAACCCCTATTGTAATGTCATATTTTATTACCTGGATGATGAAAATGACTCAAACTTCAACAGGTGTGAGAGAAGCTGCTGGACATGAGGCCTTGGGAACTTCACTAGCTTTGGCAGTAGTTTCAGGCTTGATTGCATCCGTGGTTTGGGATCTTTCTTTCTCATCTTTCAAAGCCTCTTCATAAAGGGTTGGGAAGAAACTAGGAGCGGTCTCATTAATCTTAGCCAAAAACTCCAAGACTTGCATCTTGCTTGTTTCAGCATGAGCTCGGGGACCCCACAGGAATTCATGGCGTGGAGGATCACTGTTGACCACCTGCCGGTACACCAGGTATTTTAGCCTCACCAAATCTTTGGTGATGAGCTTCTTGGGCTCTCCATAGATGAAATGCTTCTTCCCAGGATATACATGCATCATCTTCAGGAATCTCCAGATGTCTTCCTCAGAGGCGCAGTCACCCTTCATGAAGATCATACCCAGGACATTCATCAGGAGACCAGCCTTGGGTAATCCCCTGCCAGCACGAATCCTCCCATTGTTGGGGAGTTTCAGCTTGCTGACAAGGTTGTATGAGTGATTGGTTGAGTCAACTTCCCTCACATCAACTACAAAGACATCTGCAAGATGCTCACAGGCTCTCTTGAAGATTTCAGCAAACTCATTTTTGTACTTCTGGTTGACAACTTTCAGCATATCTTCCTTAGTAATACGCTGCTTCATTTCATACTTGTAGAGGAGGAACTGCTCCAACAACCCAACCTTTCCAGTTAGAGGATCTTCATAGGAATCATCAGTGGAGAGTGTGGCCTCAGAAGTGCTTTTCCCTTCCTCCTTTTGGCTATTAGAAACTTTATCAGATGTAGTGCAAGAAACACCTGCAGAAGCAGTGGTAGTAGATTGTGCTTTCTCAGGATCCTGGGGACTGCTCCGTGACTCAGTACCAGGTGGACTGTGGAGAGAAGAAGAGAACCCTTCTGCTGTTGTTGCTGTTGCTGCTGCTGCTTCTTCAAAATCCTCAAAATCCTGAGGATCACTTCGAGCCTGCTGGCATTTCTCACGGGCAAGGAACTTATTCTTCAGACCTCGAGGCATGATGAATCAGATTAGGGACAATAGAAGGAATATGGGCAGGATGACTGCCAGCACCAGATGCAAGCACCTGGAGGAGGGAAAATGAAATTGTAAGAGCACTTTCAGCAGGGAGTTACCTCCCTGTCTTTAACTAAGGCCACTTCTGCAGGTTTCTGGGAGAGCACTGCTTTAGGAACCCACAATGCTCATAGTCTAATCAACCTGTCTCCTGGAAGGCACAGTGAGTCTTAGGCTACACACTGTCCCTACCAGGGTGTATTGGAGTGGTAGTGGAGCCTCTGTTTTGAGGTGTGGGAAGTCATCCCATTCAACATCAACTGTTGACAAGACCTGGGCTTCTCTCTTTTGCTGCTCTCAAGTTGATACTTCAACCCAAAAAGCCAACATGCCCCTGAGACCCCAGAGGAAGAAGTAAAGGACATTCTCATCCTACATTCCTGTCAGAGATTCCACAACTGAGAGTTTCAAGGAGCCCTCTCTATCATGGCATGCTTGGGTATACAATTCTCATTTGGAGAATTTGCCTGATGTCCAGGTAGTGCCTGGTACATCTCCTTTCTTCTGACTGGTAGCTAACTCTCATACCAAATACCTTACCTCTCTTAAATTTGATACATAGTAGTGACAGCCTCATCCTGACAGCCCTGTTCTGGGCCCTCTAGTGCTAAATACATTGGTGGGGATCTGATTCTTTGTTATCTATACAATAGTGAATGGTCTCTTCAACACTTCCTTTGACCTCTGAATCTTCCCTTTATGCCAAACTTCTCTCTTCCTGCTGGCATCTCCTAAAACTCCCTAGGAGGATATGAGGGCCACCTCATCTGTGCATTGCCTCCTAAGGCGGAAAATAAGAGATGGATTCTGTGGTATCTTCTTCTTGATGTTTCCCTCAGACATTATGGTTCTCACCTTAACTCCTGGAAATATCTAGAAATCCTCCTACAGCGGACCTTACATCATACATTTATTAAAAAATATCTCTCAACACTATTGTCCCCTACCCAATACCATAGGATATAATGAGTACCAGTTACATTGGTAGTGCACAAACATCACAGGCTGCCAGTAGGACCTGGGGTCCCTCAATTTCTTGCCTTGAAACCTGGCTATAACTGGGAAGCTTCCCTATGTTGACTCGAGGACCCATGACCCAGGTCTTCATATCCTCAAGAGACTACCACATCCTCGCAGAAATTTGCCTGATGCCCCTCATTTGGGCTTCCCAGACTTATGGTAGGGTCAGGCTCTGGGCCATCTCACTCTTCAGAGATTGGTGATTTCCTTAAAACTCACTGAAGGTTCTGCCCTTGATTCCCTGTTAAGCATGATACCCTTTTTGCTTACCGGAGCCACCTCTGGCTCCCCACACAGTTCGGGCCAAGACTCTTAACACCCCCGCCCTATACCTAATAAGAAAGAACGGCTCATATCTACCTGACTCCATGTTTGCATCTTCTGGAAGACACAGTCTCGGTCTCCAACTAAGTTTCCTCGCCTTTGAAGGACCTCAAGGCCCCAGGCCCAACATTAGGAAAACTAACCCCTGTGCCCTGAAGCTGCAAGATGTTCCCTTACACAACCCCCCATGTCAAAACCCCACCAGCTGCACGTAGCACTTCAAGTCTCGCACAATGTTACCACAAGATGTTCCATATAGATAACCCCGGAGGGGCCAAACTTGAGCAAACAGGGTAAAAACAGGAACTAAAAGGACAGGATGCAATTTTATGGTTTTTCCGAGAACATAAAGTGGAAAAACAAGTTTACCCCCCAGGTGACCTAACGACTGGATTCAGAGGAACCAATAGAATAACTGTTACCGTGCTAAGCTAAAAACTAACCCCCTGCTCCCTATAAAAGATCTGTGCCCTAGAGCCCGGTGTGCCAGTTCACCGAAGCTCCGGCTGAGGTTTCGCTGAGCACCCGCAGGCGCCTGTGTATCAATAAATCGCCTCTTGCTTTTGCAGCCAGTGTCTCGTGTGCTTTTCCTTGGACAGGGAGTCGGAGGGTCTTTCATTTTGGAGGCCCCAGTGAGATCCCCCTCCCCCTCCGCGCCCCGGTCCGAGTCCCTGCCCGAGGAACGCCCGGCAACCACTGGGAGGTAAGCTGGCCAGCTCGTGTCATTTTGTGTTTCTTTTGTTCTCTGTTTGCAGTCTCCGATCGTTGTCTGTCTGTGTGCGGCATCCGTACGATTACGCGTAGTCGCTCTGTATTCTGGGCAGCTTGAGAAGGAGTTGATGGCGGTTCGAACTCAGACTTCTCCCCTGCCACCCTGGGAGACGTCCCAGGGATCCGGAGGGCCCAATTTTTGGGGCCCCAAGTGTTTTCGAAGAGTACTCTGTTCTGGTGGGTGATGGAGTTCCTCCTCCCCCTAATCTGAATCTGATACTTTCGGTTTGTGCCGAAGCCGCGCAGCATTCTTTGTGTTTTGTGTCCTGTCTGATTCGTATCTGTCTCCTTGCCTCTGCATTTTCTCGTTCCACCTGAGACTAACATGGGACAATCTATAACAACTCCCTTGAGTCTTACTCTTGATTATTGGCAGGACGTCCGGAACCGGGCTGACAACCGGTCAGTGGAATCAAAAAGAAAAGGTGGATAACACTCTGCACCACGGAGTGGCCAGCGTTCGATGTTGGCTGGCGGAAAGAAGGGACATTTAACCTTGATCTTATTTTACAGGTGAAATCTCGGGTTTCCACCCAAGGTCCTCAAGGACACCCCGTGATGTTAATTGGCTTTAGAGATGGGAACCAAATTTTCAGTCACAAATTTTGACACTCTCAAGGGGACTTTTAAGGTGTCCCCACTCTGCTTTCTTGGGCCTAGCACTCGAAACAACTGCAAGCAGAGGATGAACTTTTTGGGAGCTGGCTACTAAAAAGTTAGGAAAAAAAAAATGCCTAATGCCTAAGGTCAAACCAAACTGGAGGAACTGATCCTATGGGTGAAAGATAGGATTAAGGGACTCCCAGCAGCTGCCAGAGCCATTTAGCTCTGGGGAGTTCCCTGGGTCCTTATCTACATCTTAAGGATTACGCCACCTCTGTTTACTTAAAAAGAAGGGACACTGAATGCAGTAAAGCCAGTCACACTGAGACCCTTGATTTTACACCTATAGTTGCCCCTACGTGAAAACATCTGGTCCACTCATGGGAAAGTCTATGGTGCCACTGATAGGAGTCATAATTAAATGAAAGTTCAAAACCTGGAGAGATATTTTCTTATCTGGTTGTCTGATTGTTTCTTAAAGATAATCTAAGTTAAATGTGTGTCTAAAAAAAAATAATTTTTTATTGTAACAATCTGGTATCTGAATGGGTTTCTAAAGCATTGCACTATCTTGCAGTTAAAAGTTGGGTTTAAGCAATTGTTTAGTTTGATTTCAGATAGTTCATGCTAGAAAACTTAAATACTTGAGATAAAAAAAAAAATTAAAGAGTTTCAATTTTGAACTGGGTAGCCTAAAGAGCAATTAAAACGTTGGTCTGGCTCATAAAAATGACATTAGATAATTAAATAGCAATAGTCTTAGAAATTTTCAAAGCTTAATTTCAGATATATATGGTAGTGTGTGGGCAAATTTAATGTAACTCAATGCTACTTTAGAAACTTCAGAACAAGCAAAGTGGCTTAGAGGTACCAAAAAAAAAAAAAATTTCTTCTGATGGTAGAGATCCTATTTCCAGTTTTATGTGAACAAGTTTTTCTAATGTAAAAAGATATAAAATTTTAAATTTTGAAAATTACTTCTTAAATTTGTATCATAATTTTCAACATCTAAACCTGGAAATATAACTTAAGGTTAAAATGCCTTAGGCCTAAAGTGTCTGCTCAAAATAGCAGTTCCTGTCCTCAAAATTAAGCTTATAAGTTTCTCTAGGTGTTCAAAAAGGCCCTAATAAAATGTTAACTCTGCTTAAATTTAAAAGTTTACAAGTATTGTTTCAAAATGTGAACAAAAAGAGGTTTATATAATTATGGTGTTATTAATGTGTTCATATCTTCCAGGTATACAAGTCTGTAAGGTAAAAGCTTCAAAAGAACATTATATCAAGCTGGTGTTCTAAAGTTGTATGGTAATTTTAGGTTTAAAAAAAAAACATGTTAGAGATTCAATTATATCATTTGTGTTCTATAACTGAACTTGTTATCAATAAGATATGTACAGTTCCATGTTACTTTCTACTCTGAGATACAATTTATGTATTTTTAAGTTAATGAGAGCCTAATCTGTGTAAAGGTTTTATTGCAAAACACAAAAGTACATTACTACTTTTCTATAAAAGGTTAAAAGCTTTCAGGCTTTAATTCATGTTTTAGGTATGATATTATGTTGTGTTAGCTAATGTTCATGTAAACTTGAACAACAATTTATGTAAAATGATCAGCTTCAGAACTATAGTACTTGAGATTTATAAAGAGCCCTGCCTTACTTAAGATAGGGCTCTGTCCCATCTCACTACATGTGAAAGTGGCTATAAAAAAAGTAAGCCAGATTTCAGTACAGTTAAAGTTGTGTCCAAAAATAGGTTTGTGCCAAGATTACTAGGATCTCAAACAGAAAATTATGATGTATAACCCTGCTAGAATTCAAGGTAGCTATTATATAAGCTAAATATGTTTTTACCCTAGTTAGTTTTGTTTTGTAGTTTACTTATAGATGGTTTAAGGATTGCCTGTTAATGTTTTAAAGAGGTATTGCTTTAAGAACACAACCTGGGCCAACATAAGATAAGGAGTTATCACCTACAAGATAGAGAGATAAACATTAAAGCCCAGTGCTCTTAATATAAGGCTGTTAACTTATTTGCTGGATGTTTAAGATCAAGTTTTTAAAATTAATTAAATTAAAAGGGCCAAGAAAACCAATATTCGGCTCTTGCCCTCTGAGTCAGTCTAAATCAGGGAATAGGGGACTTCTCCAAAGGGCTCAGCAACTCTAGGCCACATAACCTCCTGAGCAGGGAGATTAATGAGACCAGTGGAGGACAGAAAGCCAATCGGTGCATTTGCTGTAAAGAGGAGGGTCATTAAAAAAGGGAGACATCCCTGATGCTTCTGAGGGAAGCCATATGGTCAAGCAAGGCCTGGGCCCATCCTAGCGCAAATGGCACTAGCAGAACTGAAAAGCTGCTATGAAGTTCCCGAGGACTCCCAGGATAACTCAGCTGACTGTAAACAACAGGTAGAAACAAAAGTCAATTTGACTTGCTTCATCTTAAACACTTAGCAAAGACAGTAAAAGCCAAAGCACAGCTGTTCCTGGACATCTTAAATAATAATAATAGTTAAATGTAACTTCCATAAATAAGTAGACTGGAGGCTACAAGAGAGATTCTTAGACAGAAATGCCTGATTACTGTCAAAGGGACTGCTAGAGTAGTTTTAGTCTAAGGCTTTTATTTCTAGCCAACGCAGGTAGACTTGATGTTTGCTAATATGGTTATCCAGCCCTAAGTAGCAGAATTAAAGATTTCTCTATTAGACACAGAGGAGAAACAAAAGGTTCTCTTGGAAGCTCGCAAAAATGTGCCAGGGGACAACGGGCGCCCCACCCAACTCACAAATTTGATTAACGAAGCTTTTCCTTTAACCCGGCCAAACTGGGACTATGCGACTGAAGCAGGTAGGAACCACCTACGTCTCTATCGCCAGTTACTCATAGCGGGTCTCCATGGAGCAGGGCGATGGCCCACCAATTTGGCTCAGGTAAGACAGACTATCCAGGGGTCAGAGGAAACTCCGACAGCCTTCTTAGAGAGATTAAAAGAGGCTTATCGGAGGTTTACTCCCTTTGATCCTGATAGTGAGGACCAGAAAGGAAACATTTAATGGGCCTGCCTTCGTCTCCCAGGTGAGTCAGGCGGTGGCTAATACGTTGGGGATCAATTGGAAATTGCATTGTGCTTATAGACCCCAAAGCTCAGGACAAGTAAAAAGAATAGAACCATCAAGGAGACTTTAACTAAATTAACGCTTGAAACTGGCACTAGAGACTGGGTACAACTCCTACCCTTAGCCTTGTACCGGGCCCGAAACACCCCAGGCCCACAGGGACTAACCCCATTTGAGATTCTGTACGGTGCACCACCTCCCGCTGTTAACTTTTATGAAACTGAAACCTATGCCTCCCTCACCCCATCTATGCAGACTCATTTGCATGCTTTGCAATTGGTCCAGAACGAGGTCTGGAAACCTCTAGCCGCAGCATACAAAGAGGAACTTAAAACCCCCTTGCTGCCACATCCCTTCAAGGTCGGAGATACCGTCTGGGTACGCAGGCACCAGAGCAAGAACCTCGAACCGCGGTGGAAAGGACCCTACACTATCCTGCTGACCACTCCTACTGCACTCAAAGTGGACAGCATCGCTGCTTAGATCCACGCTACCCACGTGAAGACTACACATCCACAGGAGTCCGCAGACACCTCTCCGGATCCAGAATGGAAGTTGCAACGCACCCAAAATCCGCTAAAGATAAGACTCACTCGCTGTTGATTTTTCTTGCTTTGTGCTGTGTCTTCCCCATATCAGTTAACTCCAACCAGTCTGTGAGCCAGACATGGCAAGTATTATCGGGGACAAGAAATATAATTTAGAAAAAAAAACATCCGCAAAATACCCCCTTTGGGCTTGGTGGCCTACCCTAGGGCCTGATCTTTGTCACCTGCTGGCTGGGGCGAACAACTTTGATAGCCCAGGTGAGTCAGAAGCGTGCGTCACCAGTGGACGCTGCGCCTATGTAAATCGTCCAACAGGGTGTAAAGACCCGAGAGCTCGAGCGGCTCTAAGAGAAAAACCCTTCTATGTATGCCCTAGGGACGGGAAAACTAGGTCGCAGGCACAAAAATGTGGGCAACATGAAAGTTACTATTGTAAGTCTTGGGGATATGAAACTACGGGGGATGCATGGTGGAAGCCAAGCTCATCTTGGGATTTAATTCAAGTAAAAAAAAAAAAAGAAACAGGATCCCCCACTTTCTGCCGACTCTTGCAGGAGCCTGAAATGGTACGGGGCAGGGCCATGTACCGCATTTGCCTGCAACCCCTTAAACATTACCATTACTCAGGCAGGCAAAACATCAAAAGATTAGATAAAAGGAAAGCAATGGGGCCTGAGAGTATATCATAAGACTGCCTATGACCCTGGGGTCCTATTCAAAATTAGATTAATAGTAAATACCAACCCCCAACCAGTATGCTGAGCCATCAGCTGAAATAATGCTGGAATCCGAGCAGATGGGTCAATGGATATAAGATTATATCCATGATATAGAAAAGGGGGGAAATGAAGGACCTCAAGGCCCCAGGCCCAACATTAGGAAAACTAACCCTGTGCCCTGAAGCTGCAAGATGTTCCCTTACACAACCCCCCATGTCAAAACCCCACCAGCTGCACGTAGCACTTCAAGTCTCGCACAATGTTACCACAAGATGTTCCATATAGATAACCCCGGAGGGGCCAAACTTGAGCAAACAGGGTAAAAACAGGAACTAAAAGGACAGGATGCAATTTTATGGTTTTTCCGAGAACATAAAGTGGAAAAACAAGTTTACCCCCCAGGTGACCTAACGACTGGATTCAGAGGAACCAATAGAATAACTGTTACCGTGCTAAGCTAAAAACTAACCCCCTGCTCCCTATAAAAGATCTGTGCCCTAGAGCCCGGTGTGCCAGTTCACCGAAGCTCCGGCTGAGGTTTCGCTGAGCACCCGCAGGCGCCTGTGTATCAATAAATCGCCTCTTGCTTTTGCAGCCAGTGTCTCGTGTGCTTTTCCTTGGACAGGGAGTCGGAGGGTCTTTCACCTTTACTGATTTTAGGGTCCCCTTCCCCTACTCTGCTAAACTAGGACTTCCCGCTTTTATTTTCTCTTGCCTTCCTGGGACCTTAGAGGTGGAAATAAACAAAAATCTCAGTTAGCCCGCTCTCCTCAGGCCTTCTTAAGACTGAGAATAAGAGTGAGGGGTTTTGGAGGAGGGGGAGGGGACACTTTTTCTGAGGTAATGATTCTCTCATTGTCAAACTCCTCACCTGGAAGCCGACCAGAGACTGGGACTTCGTTTTCCCTTTCGCTGATCTAGCTGCCTCAGATAAAGCCCTTTACCTTCCTCAGGCACTCTGGGAGGAAGTGAGAGCGATCACCAATGATAGGGCTCAGAGAGGCCGACTGCCAGGGCTGCGTCTCTAGCACCCCCTCTGCTCTGGGGTGTAGGACTACCTCAGCCTCAAAGAGAATTCTAGATTTTACTGTGACTTCTGGGCCCCTCCCTCTGCCCTTCCCCCTTACTGCAATGCCCTCCCTTTCATAAGTTCCGCCTTGCCGAAGTCAGCTTGAGTACCTGGTCTTGGCTCCCTAGATCTAAGAGCAAGCGAAGGGAAGACAATGAACTCCTATTTCTGAGGCTGCCAGCTCAAAGAAAGCGAGAGAAAAGTCCCAGTCTCTGGTGATAGTTAAGGTGAGGAGCTTGAATGAGAATGAAAGCAATACCTACTTCAGTTTATGTGTTCTCAGTCAGTATTTATCTACAAATTCATCTTGGTGCTGTCTCTTTAATGAAAAGCTTTCTGCCAAATGCAACATTCCTGAAAATTCTTGAATAGTCTACCTACTTCAAATATTGAAGATCATAGGTCTGTGTCTCTGGAGTGATGTGAGATGGGGAAGCTGAAGAACAAGGTGGACAGGTTGGAATAGGAGGTGACTGCCACAGTAAATGTTGATTTATTCATTCTCTTCATCACACAGACTCAATCTTTCATGGTACTTCTGTTCTGAGAGATTTAATTACTACATGAAAGAAGCTAGAGCTTGATAATTTGGTGAGATCCCAATCCTGAAGTTAATTGGACACTGCACATGTAGATGATCAAATTGTTACCAATTCTTTGTGTTTATTCTAACATCTCATTTATTTTGATATTCTTATTGCTCTGGTTATGGATTATAATTCAGAACTTTGGGCAAAAAATTCTCAATCATCTAAGATATATTTTGTAGTAGTGAGGAGAAAAATTAATAAATGTACACATGGTCAGCCTTAGCATGAGAGTAGTGGAATAGCATGGGCTCTAGATGAATTCAGATCAGTGATTTATCCTAATTCTATCACTTACTACCTTGAGATTATGAGAATATTGCTAGTTCTGTATCAGCCAGTTCAGTTTCCTAAGCCTTATTATGGATTGACATTTTTTTGTCCTTCCAAAATTTGTATGTTGAAACTCTAAATTCAATGTGACAGGAAGTGAGTCCTTTGAGAAAAAAAATAGTTTTAAATGAAGTAATAAGGGCGGGGTCTCCGTGATGGGATTAATAGCCTTATAAGAAAGCTTGTACTCCCTTTCTTTCCATCATACAGGGATACACCAAGAAGGCAAATGTCTGCAAGAGAACCAGATATTCTTGAACCTTGATCTTGGGCTTTCTAGTCTCCAGGATATCAGGAAATGAATGTTTGTTATTCAAACCAACCATTTTCTGGTATTTTGTTATATAAACCTAAGTAAAACCAGTTTTGTAGGATCATGGGAATATATGTATTGGGCAGAAAGCCCTTGTCATAATGACTGACAAATATCCAGTGTTCAGTGATTGGCAGTTATAATGATTTTTATCCAGATAATACCACTCTCCTTTAGGAATTTTTTAAAATCCAGGATATGTCAGATAAAATGAAATGCTATCAAAGAACCAAATCAGCTAAAAATCTATTTTAGGAAGTAAAATTAGATTTTCCCTATGAGGGCATCTGCTATTTAATTTGAATGTGGGGGGTTCTTCCCACCTGCATGTATCTCAAAGTTCCTAGAATTTCGTCAAGGACCAACTCATTCAGTGCTTCCCAACTACATTTCCATCCAAACTTCCTCTATTTTTTATTCATTTCTTCCTCACAAAAATCTAGCTCGCTCTCAGAATTTGCGAAGTAATCCTCAATGTAACCTAAGTACAATGCTCTTTCAAAGAAGTGGCATCTATTCCTTTTAGTTGATGGCAAATTGACAATACAATGACTTCTGTACATCTCACCTCAAAGAAGTATCACCTTTATTTTTCAGAAGCTCCAGGAGTCAATATGCATAGAACACCTAGTTTATGCATTGTATTCTACTACATATAGACAAGGGCAAAGATTCCTTCTATTCTTGTCCATATGGGTTGAATTGTATACCCTCTCCTCCAAAATTCATATGTTGAACTCCTAAACTCTAGTCCCTCACAGTGTGACTATATTTGAAGATAAGATCTTTGTAAGGGTAATTGAGTTAAAATGAAGCAGTTAGGGTACCCCCTAATACAGATAGGATGCCCTTATAAGAAATTATTATAACACACAAGAAGACACCAGACATGGACATACACCAAAGTTCCACCCTGTGCAGAGGCAGAAGGAAGATGAACTTCTACAAACCAAGGAGAGAGGCCTCAGAGGAAGCCAATCCTCTGGGACCTTGATCTTGAACTTGTAGCCTTTTGGACTATGAAAGAAAAATTCTGCTTTTTAAGCTATTAGCTTATGGTCAGTTTTTAATGGTAGCCCTAAAACTCTAAAACACTGCCTTTAAGTAGATACTTCTTTGGAATCTATATTATCTGTGATCCCAAAGTTACTCTTGAAAGTGTACTTTAATGGCCTAATAATTATTCCACTTGTGATGGAGGAATTCCTCCAGTGTGTTAATGTTGTATGCAAACACACAACGCTGGACACTGCACAGATGACTCCTTCCTGAGGGAGGAAGACACTATATGCTGCACAAGACCACATGGGAGTTACACTCAGAAACAGAGTAAATAAGTAGAAGACAGGATTTGTAGATTAAGAAGAAGAGGTGATTTTTTTGTTTGAATAAGTCCAAAAGCTTCTGTATCTAATCTTCTTAATAAAGATACTTGTTTGGCAAGGAGATCTTATCTATAGTACATATTGGGGAACTTGCAGTTAGGTCATTTGAGGCCCTGCTGGTTTCATGAAATTTCAAGGCAATACATAATATTGGATCTTATATTATAGGCCTTCCACTACAGTTTTCCATTCAAGGGTCTTCTTTTTAAAATTTGTGACAGAGTTTCTAAGGGTATGGCCTCTGCTCACCAACCCCACAGCCACGTAGAGATCACCATGAAGCTTAATTTTAAAGTTGCATCACATTGACTTGAAGTTTCCTGACATTCAAATTGCCTTGCCACAGGCAATTTCTTCTCCTTTTCATTCATTCTTTCTACTATCCTATGAGTCATATAGGGTATCTCAACATTTTCCTCATATGAGTGTAGCTCCCAGTTTCTAAAATTATGGGTAGAATCTATATCTTAGCAATTCTTGTATGATCACAGAACCTCCCAAGGAAGAGATAATCAACTGATGTTTTGGGAATAAGAACAGTGAGCAAGAAGTCTGACTTATACCCTATTATTAATAAGTTAACCATATCAAGGTATAAACCATTCAATTACATAATAAAGACTAAAAGAAATGAGGGAATCCAAGATTGATCATGTTTTATTTTTTTACTCTTCTATTTTCTCAACTGCTTTATTATTGTTTTTTTCATATTTCCAAGAAAACTCTTATTGTTGTGTCATGTTTTCTTATAAGAAGGTCTCAGACTAAAATAGGTCTAAGAGAGGCTGTTGGATATAGTCATGTGTTTTAGTCAGCTTTTTCACTGCTGTGACCAAGGAACCTGACAAGGAAAATTAGAAGAGGTTTCAGAGGTCTCAGTCCATAGAAGCCCAGCTTCCTTGGGGCTTGAGGTGAAATAGAACATCATGGACAATGAGTGTGGT